CGAGAAAGTAAAGTCGTACTTCTTCGGGACGGCCTGGCCGGATCTAGTCTCGGACTTGAAGTTATCAGTTCCTCTTCCTGGCGCTTCGAGGCCTATGTAGGTACTGGTTTGAAGGATACTCGGTTGGTGATACTACGATTGCCCACGGAAAGTATTAAGGACTCTTTGTCAGCCAAAGTTTACATAATGTGCCGCACAGGTGGTGAGCATGCAGCAGAGAAGCACGTGAGTTTCCTTACCTATGCCCCAATGACTTGGACGCAACAAAAGATGGCATAAAAAGTTAGCAGTCAGCATATTGGGGGAATGAAAGCGATGAATACCCCTCGTACAGAACCACTCCTGGTCACGATCCAGTCGGGACACATGTGCGCACACTCACAACCAAGCGTGATGTGACAGAAGCCCTCCATACGAGATGCAGGGCAGCAGTGAGCAAACGTAGAATTACACCAGACCCCAAATCCAGAGAGTTACTATTGAAGTTCCTAAACCCGTTTTCCGTGACTAGATTCGGACACCTGTTTGTAGCTTTGGGGGGGTTGGCAGAGGTGCAGACCTTGGTGCACCGACAAGTTAACGCACATGACAGCCTTGGGTACTGTCAGCTTCCAGGCCTTCCAGCAACCTCTTACCCCGCTCTAGCATCCCTAGAAGCCAAAAGCCCTTAATTGAGTTAATTATCTTGAAATTCTTGAGGTTCTGAAGTGTACACTGGCGTAGACCTGCGCTGGACCAGGCAGAGCGAAGTCTGATTGCGACAGCAGCAGGAGCTTGACATGGCTTGGGAAGAGCTTCTCCTTACTGGACTGCGCTGGAGGCTTCCTTCGCAAAAACGGCCGAATACACAGAGTGAGCACCCTGGCCGCATCTCTTTCCTTCCTAAAGCTGAGCCCCTGCACCCTCCACCAAGTAAGCTCCTATAGCATGTCTAGGCCGAAGGGCATCCCTGCACATAAGTGTCCGGATGATGCGGAACATGTCCCACGATCTAGTCTGGTTGCCCAGTCGCTGGTTCCCGATGCATGTAGAGAAATCCAGGAAACAGGCCCACAAACTTGTCTTTCCTCGCTGCCGACGTGTTAGCGTGGCAGGTACCACGCACCCGTAGCACATGCAGAGAGTGACGTCGACTTCGCTTCATTCAAAGTGACGAATAAAATGCTCGGCAGTTCGTGCACAGTTTCAACTCAGCCCTCGGTATGCTGACTTTGAACCCGACAAGTAACACACACACACACAACCGAGACAAGTTCCAATGTTTGCTTAAGCTTTCCCAACACCACACGAGAAGTTGAGAAGTGCTCATCTTCAGTGACATATGGAACGTATTCAGTAGCAAAACGAAATTGATAAGCATACATATGTACATATAACTTACATAAAAAATAAGTATATATATATATACATATATATATATGTATGTATATATGAATGCATATGTGTATGTATATGTATATGTATATGTGAATGT